CTGGGGCTGGATTGTCACCCAACTTGCCAGCACCTTTTTGCTGACATAGGACACGATACAGCGAAGGGCAGGGACCTCCAGCCCTGACCCACACACACCTCTGCTTTCCCAGCTCGGCTTCTCAGCTTAGCTGCAATCAGGAATCTGCCTCCAGCTTCCTAATTCCCCAGGTCAAAACATTAGCTCCTCTGGTGCCTTGCAGATCCAAGGCACAGGGTTGGGATGTAACACGAGGGACCCTCCAAATCCTACCACCTCCAAATCAAATCTCTTAACCAGGCAGAGAGAGGGATGGATGAAGGGCCAGCATATGTTCTTATTGTGAGCAGGAAAGCAAAGGTGCTCTGGTGGGGTGCAACTGCACCCAGCTTAGACCAGGGGGTTCTTCAGCTCACAGCTTCTGCTCCTTCAGGGACTTCAAGCCAGAAAAAGAGAAGACTAATTCCATTTTTATTCCCTATTTCCTCCACCTCAGATGCCACAGAGTCATTATTGCACAGGACAGAAGCCACGAACCTTCCTCTTTGACAAAGAAGAAGGTTCGATGACTGTTTCTCATTTCCAGAAGTTCAATGACTGTTTCTCATTTCCACGCCTGAAATGGAATGAGTAGCAATCTCTGTCTTCTGATGAGGGCTGGGAAGTACATTGGCCTATGTTGAATTAAATCCAGACTGGGCAATCAAAACCATTCCTCACCCATCTGTAGGCCTTGATCTTTGTGGTCTGGGAAAGGGACACGATGAAAATCTCCAAATTCGGAGGTTTGCAGAAATGCCCGGTAGTGAAAGCAAACGGCACGAGACCGGCATGGTGAATGAACTTTGGAGGGGAGGGAAGTCACTTGCAGATCAAGTAAAACCGGTGGCAGCTAAATCTTTCGTGCTCAAGTCCCAACGAATGCTTGCTGTTTCCGGAAAGTTTCAGACACTGCTCACGCTGCTTTGTCTGCCATTTATTATTTGTGGAGCTTAGCAGCCGATATCAGGGCCTATTTATGCTATGTACCGTGCATGCACCCATGCAGAGCTTCACCCAGTGTATTTTGCAGCTTTAATGCAATAAAGCAGGGGGGCTGATGGCGCATAGGGCGTCAGTGGGAGCCAGCGGTGCCCTCGGTGGGAGCTGTCTCATCAGTTTAGGTGCGCTCAGGGTTAGAGAGTGGATGAGGGCAGTGAAAGGCCTTTTATTGTGGACCTTCATGCATCAGTGAAAGCAGCATATGTCTGAAATTTTGGTGGATCCAAATTTGGGGTATCTTATTCTACCCTTGGCGGGGGTTACAGGCAGTGGTGACTTCTGGGAAACATGGCAAGCAATCTTAAAGTTCAGCACAAAAACAAGGGCTTGCAAAGTTGTATCTCCGTTTCTCCCCGGCCATGACTGCAAAGTGCCCCCCAGAAAGATGAGTTTCCTGACCTCTCATCCAGTGTGAAGAAGCAATGCCTTTTTATTTCCTCCTTGTGACACACGTGCTCACTCCCAGCACATACACACCCCGCAAGACAGAGGTGAACAATGAGCCTCTTTGACCCCGTGGGTTTTTGCTGAGCCACAAAGGGAAACGAGAACGAAAATTATGCATTGCCAGGCACGATGAGCCTGTTTGATGTTAATTTAGAGCAAGTTCAACTAAAAATACCCACCGTTACAAATTATACCATTTCTAGAAAAACAAATGAATATTTATAAATGTTTAGGCTTCCCTGATTTTCACTGTGAGTACTGGATCGTTTTTTGCAAGCCCAGATTAACATGTAAATATGCACATAATCAGGCAATTAAATGCAAAAATTACTCCCGTCATCATAAGATGCACGTGTTTTCTCTTCCTGCCACACACTGATATAAGGACCTGATTTTCACGTGCACTCCCTTTGCCCTGTCCCAGCAAATTACTCCCAATATAGAGCCCTGTTTACACTGCCAAAGTGGTTGAAAAGGACTTGAATGTACACAGTGAATTGGGATTAGCAGTTCATCTTGATTTTGAATGAGTGTTAAAGCAAGAAAGGAGTCAATATTTGTAGCATGGGCAGAGAACAGAAAGCAGCTCGTAATGACCAAGGCATTTCTTCTTTGCAACCATAATACCTTAAAATATTCTATTTTGATTTCTTATGGAAATAGGCCAATCCATGTTTTGGCAAAGCTAAAAAACTAAAGGCATGCAGAATAACATCTTAAATATGGCTCTTATGGTCTCTAATGACTTTCTCTACTGCTAAAATATGTCACGTTTAGGTAAGAATTTCTTACGTTTTTGCGTTTCTTCTTCTTTTTCCTTTGTCATAGCACAGTGTTTTTCATTTATGGTCAGTGAATAAAAACGGCGGGTTCCTACAACGCTGGTGGAGGTGAGCTAACAGAATTACATCAACAAGATATCAAAATGAGGAGGGAAATTTCCTAATGTGTTCCTAATCTACACTGAGATGACAGGGATTTTCATTTTAGGATGATGAATCGTATGTTCGGAAAAAGCTGGTTCATGTCTTGATTGTCCTCTTGCTGCATGCGTGTAATTGTCATTACTGGTAATGGATGTACCAAAGTAAGGTTACATCCTTCAGAAACATTGCAAAGGAGGTTTTATTTTTTTCACTTAACGACTTAGCTTTATTAAAATGCATAACAATTCTGAGCAGCAGAGTTTATTACAACAAAGCAAGGTGTCGTATGTGCTTTCAGATAAAAGGAAATTAACATTTTGAAATCATCTTTTTCAAAGTGCTTTTTCCTCAACAATATCTTCCCAAATGAATCCGATTATTTAAATCAATAAAACATTTAATAGAGATATTGTACACGAATATGCTCTGTTCTTGGCTAAGCAGCATGTATTGCCATGCTTTTAAATCAGTAATTTCTGGTAAGAAGGCGCTTACTGCTAACCTTTTCATGTCAGTGGCCATGATGGCTTAGTATCTACGGCTACGAGATGTGTTTGTGTGTCAGGCTGTATGAAGGGAAGATTACAGGGCCTGAGAATTAAAGTGCGACAGGAGGTGGAAGATGGGAACTCATCTGGATATTTCCTTTCTTGTACATTTTTGGTTGTGCTATTGAGATATAGTTGAGCATTATAGCTATTAATTATGTATGGGCAAACACGCACATTTATGTACAGCCTGGCCTATGTTACAGGTAAGGTTTTTGTTTGGTTTCTTGGTTTTTTTTAATTCTATGCTTTAAAAAAAAAAATCATCCTTAGTTTTTAGGCTTCACGTGTCTTGTGCCACTCATTTAGATGATACGATAGATGGATCTAAACAAGGCTGTTATGATGTTATAATAGCACAAACTACCACAGAGTATTTTGGGATAGCCAGAATTTGGAGCGCGCTCCCCCTCCCTTCCCCTGCTGTGTTGAGCGAGTTTCTCTCAAGGAAAATACCATGCAGTTAAGGTATGGCAAAACTGCTTTCACATCACTGAAGCCCAAGCAAAAGTCCAAGTTCTGTTGGGTTTTTTTAATTAACCTGATTACATGCCGCCTCCACGCTTCCTGGAGTTTATGGCCATGGCCATGAAGCTTCTTGGAGTTTATGGCCACGGCCATGAGCAAACTCAGGCTGCAAGTTAGGTGGTTTTGAAACAGCAGAGAATGGAGGTTCTCCAAGAAGCATAGACCCATTGCTATTTATATGCATTACACTCCTTGAACACTGATGACCTGAATGCAACATAATACTCCAGATGTGGAAGGATCAGTGCCTCATACAAGGGCATGAGGAATCTCCTGTTGCTCCCAGGAAGACCTCCCTAGATACAGCTTGGGCTTGCATTTGCCTCTTTTGAGGCCACTTGGTAGCACGTAGCTATCTCGTGATCAGAGAAGTAACACGCCCCATTCTTTCTCCCTCTCTGTCATTCCTAATTCATACGGCCCCTGCTTAGAGCTGCAATTCTTCTTTGCATATCAGTCCCTAAATGCATGCCAGTGCAGCATGTACTGTCCTGGGAGCAGATGTCACTGATGCTTGTTAAATGTAGGGCTCCCTTTGTGAAAAGCTGAGCTCAGCAGGCCCCTCTGGGACTGCCCTGGAGAGTCCTAGCTGTGCTGCACGGTGCGGTGATGCCCCAACTGCCAGGCTAGCATCAGGGATGTGTACAAGTCACAAAATATATGGCTTTAATAAACTGCAGACTGCTCAGTACGCTCCTCTCTCCTGCATGGATTTCAAGTAGCAGAGCTGTGCTGCCTTTGGCTGACATCCCTGTCATCTCCTCTGGCATCTAAATCAGACCTTGCTCTCACCTTCTCCCCCAGACTACCTCTTCTAGGCCCTCCAGCACTTCTTCCCTCCCACCTCCTAGCCGAGATGCTGTGGAAACAGCTGTCTCCACTACCTGCTTATGGGCCTGTGCAGGGAGCGATGCGGCTGGTGGGCCGGGGGGGGAGGGGGGGGGGGGGGGGGTTTCAGGTGCTGCTGCAGCTCCAATCCCCACCTTGTTTCCATCCCAGGAGGCAGGGACCTCAGCAAACCAGGACCCAAACAGGGGGGTAAAAGGTGCATGACTGGGAAGGAAAGGTGCATGCGCTAGAAGAGCTGGGGAGCAACTTTCTATCCAGCAGTGACCCCCTGTAGGCCCTCCGTTTCAGGCTCCTTTATATCTGAAGTAAACCCCTTTCAGCGTGAGAAACAAGGAGAAACCCAGCTTGTAGGAGAGAGATGCAATGGCAGCAGCAAGTCTGCGAGGTCCAGGTAGATTTGGATTTGGGGCATTAAGCCTTAACCCCTTCACCACCTGCCCTGTCCATGCCTGCAGCCCCTGCCCCTTCCCCAAGTAGACATGCTAGAGTGCATACACTGACGCCCACCTTTTCCCACCCCAGCATCAAACCAGGTGCTGTAGCCCATCCAGACCTATATATAGAGCTGCTGCCTCTGCCCATTGGCTGCATCTTGTCTGGGGAGGAGCTTGCTTTATAAAACCCCACCCTCCACTTTGTAGCCTTTTAGCACCTGCTAATTGTTTTTCAGGCTGGTTTCATTTGTCTTCAAGCTGCATCTTCTGCTCCCTCCATCTTCATCCAACTGCCTGCTCCTTCTTCTCCTCTGTGCTTGCCATCCACCTGTTCCCTTCCTGTTCTTTATCCTTTGTACCTGCCATGGATTTCCTATCCCACCCAAAAGCAAAGTGGGGTCCTGGGTGAGTTTTCTTTTTCCCTCTAATCCAGGCCATGCAGGTGGTTGAGATCACTCAAAAAAAGACATTTCTAAATGGCCTAAACCCATAGTGGGCCCATTTATGAACTCACACCAACAGCTACCAGGTTTTGGAAGCTGAATTTAATCATTTAGCTAAATATGCTGGCATTCCCGACGGGGTGTTTTGTATGACGGTCCCCTGCGGTGTAATGCTAGATAATGAATCATCTGTTCAAAAAAAAAAAAAAGGATCTGGTTATAACTGAGCAAGTAAAACTGAGAAATTGGGTTGTTCCCTTTATCTTCTGGTCCCTTCACAAAACTTCACCAACATCGCTTAAAAGAAAAGAGCAAGTGACAGTTCTTTCTTGCTGCCATATAATCGGCCGCCATGATTTGCAGCTTCTTGTGTCTTGCTACATGCTGGTTTACAGGAGGGGTGCAGGTGGACCTGTATCTTTTTTTTTTTTTCTATACAGTATTACTTTCCACTACAGATGTCAAAAGCCTGAGTGTGACTTCCAGAGAAATGTATTTATTTGAAGTGCAGGAGCTCTTTGGGGCCCTGGCAGAGATGAGGCCTCGCTCACTGCAAACACATGGGGGAGAATCTCTGCTCCATAAAAAAGGGACAGCAACGTGGAGGAAAGAAAGTAGGACGATCGCTACTGAATATGGGGAAATGCATCATGAGGCTAAGCAGCTTGCCAAAGGTGAGACCGGGAGTCTGTACCGGAGCAAGTTGAGCCCAGACTTTGAGTCCTGTGTCTTACCTATACAAGCATCTTTCCACCACTCAAGTTTTGTTGCAAAACCTCAGTTAAAAGCAAAAGAAAGACCAGGAGGTAAATAAATGAATGACTGATTTTTATTTTATTTTATTTGGGGTTATTTTTTTGTTGTTTTTATAGGAACGGAGTTCCATGTTCTGGCCAGCTCTATATATAGAGAGAGAGTATCAGCCTTCTACAGCTGGCTGGTGGGTGTAGCTTTGACTGTACCGAGGGTCCATGGGAAATTCAGCTGAGAAGTTCAAAGAGAACAAGATGCCACATTAATTAATATGGGGAGGCTTGAGTTGTTTTGCAGTCATCTGTCACTTGCATAATTCTTGCCATGACAGGTAATAAGTCTTCAGTCCTGAGGTACTGCTTGATAATGTGAACTCGAACAAATTATTCATGTTGTTCGCTAGAGCTAAAGTTAATCCAAACAGCACGTCTTACCAAGAGCTGAAAACCAGACAGCCAGGGCATGGGAAACACAAGCATCATCTCCTAGTAAACTCACTGCCTGGAGTTAAAGCACCTGTGGTGGGATCTCTATCGTGCCTGTCACTTCTTCTTGTAATCTGGTTCCTGTGCTCCAGCCCCTGGTGCTTAAAGAACAGGGGCTAATTTTTGTATGCAAAGGCTTCTGGATATTGGGGATAAGAGAACTGGTGGCAGTAGCCAGATGGTTTCTAGCTACAAATCTCCAGCAAATTATTGAGACCTCATTGCTGTAGTATCAAGGGTCCAGCATGGACACGATGTAGTATTATGGGTGCAGCAGGGAAGTCCTGTTACTTCCATCTCTCAGCCTGGGAGCTGAGACCCAGACAGATGGCCACATTCAGAAGGGATTTGCAAGCCAAAATTGGGACTTGGATATGATTTGATCCCGGACATGCTGGGGAAGTAGCATGGCCTGTACCTCCGCGCACCTCTGCAAGGGGCTACCAACAAGTGCACAGCAAGTGGAGCTGCATTTTGGGAGCTCCTTCAAAGCACTAGTCTGCTGATGTTAACCTTCTCCTTTAAGGACAACAGAGCATTTCAAGACTTTAAGGGTGTTTTTTTTTTTTGCTAAGAGATGAAACCAAAAATAGGTCACGTTTGAGGCGACCAACCTTGACAGGACATGGGCACGTATTCTGGGAGGATGGAGATTTCACCCTCACGTGGTCCTTGCCCAAAAACCCAGCGCTTGCGATTTTGTGTTCTGATGCATGAAACCGAATGCAACTTAAATATAGCTGTGGGTCAGCCACAATCCAGCGTATTTAATGAAGGGATTTGACTGGCAGCTATATATTGCATTATTTACGAAGTGATAGCTATATAGTGGTATTGTGATAGCTTAATTAGAAGCTTAGCCTAGTTTTGCTAAAAATAAATAGTGGTGTTAATTCTCTGCTTTTTTTGAATAGTCGAGGGATATCTCGGGAGCTGCGTTGCTGAAACGTGCTAATTGCAGAATACGTTTATACGAGATGAAAAAGAAGGACCTAAAATGGTATGATTTTGATCTAGATGAAGGATTGGACTTTTATCAGCTATGGGGAAATACAGAGTGCATTTAAAAAAACCAACGTAATGGGTACAAGACAATAGAGGATGCAAATGTGAAGGACATTCAAGGAAACAATGAGATGTTGGCAGTAGTCGTTGCATGTGTACAGTCTAGCTAAGTTTTTTCTGTCGGCATCTTAGCAAAGGACAGGTCTTCAGGAGAGATCTGAAGGAAGGCAGTAAGGGAGCTTCACAATCAGCAGCAAGATGAGCAAGGGAGCTAAAAGGCCAACACAGTCCACATTTATCTGCTATGGCTGAGGGAAGACTAGGATGCTCCTAGTGCTGATGCAAAATGCATCCTCTGAGAGGGATTTCAGTCTAATCCTTGAGAGTGCTATGAGATGCATAGCTTTAAATAAAATAAAATAAAATAAAAACCAGCCCCAAAACAAATTAAAAACCTTGCGTCTCTCTCTAGAGATAGTTATATTGTGGATAAGGTCTCAATCAAACTTGAAGGACAAAGTGACCCTCATCTGCCTGTATCTTGGGAAGTGACAAGTAGAACGTGAGATTTTAGGCCCAGGCGACACCGGAGAAATCTGGCATGCAAAGCACCATGTGGTGCCCGCCATGTATGTGTGAGGCCTCGTATCCACATGCAACTGCTTGCAACAAAGCAGTGGTGCTGCAATCACCAGCTGGCTTACACTTGCTTCAAGCCATGCTAGCTACCAGTGCTTTCATCCCCACTGGTGCAATGCCAGCTTTGGAGGGTGATTATGAATGTAATGGTCCTGTCACACGCCATCCTGATGTACGTGGGACACGCACTCGGGCAGAGAGGAGAGAAAAGCCTCAGGTCTGTTAAAAAGATAGGGGCATTGTATCTATATAATCTATCTGTAAAAGTTCAATATATAGAGAAACAGTCTATGCATGTGTCCATACTATATACATGGTGTATGTATACAGATCTACTGTCTGTGATACATTGCATCTGGGAACTGCCAGAAGGACTTCCAGGATTTTACGGCAGAGCCTAGACTTGGCCTTTGCAATAATATGCACTGAAGCAATCTGTCTGGAGCTATGCTAGAGCTACTGTGTTATTACTGAAAAGCTTGAAGAAAATATTTAAGCAACTCTTTCCTCCTTCATAGACCTATAGATCAAGGCTGGAAGGGATTGGTTATAATCCAGTTTGATCAGTGAAACACAGGCAAGAGCTCATCTGCTAGATGCAGCACACACACATTACTTTTCATTTACTTTACTGTTCATTTTGGGTCCAATGGCACTTGGAATAACTTGTACAAAAATTCCCATACGGGTCCCAGCTAAAATGAAATCCCCAACAGTTGGGGAAAAATAAAACAAAAGAAAAACCCTTTGTCCAGGCTAAATAAAGGGTCAGATGATGATGGCCTAATTGTGTACCTGCACTAATTGAGGACTGTCAGATTTTTTTTACTGCTCCATTTTGTAAATGAATGGGAAGCCCATTGGCTGAGAGAGATGGAGTAGGCTACTAACTGTTTTTTGCCCCTGATAAGTGTGCTCCACAGGATGACAACCTAGTGCCAAAGGTTTTGTCTTTATGAAACATCCTTCCTAGTCCTTTTGCTAGTCATTGCAAAGACTTACAGTTGCACCTCCTCAGCCCACACAGTCATCCAGGTGTGAAAACACAGTCAAATATAATTTGGAACAAACCTAATTTTAATTCCTACATCTTTGCCATCTCTTCAGCATTTGCAATTGCACACCTGCTACATCCACTCATTTGAACATGTATTTGAAGGATGGGTTGGGGGGGTTTGTGTGGCATCAAGAGAGTTGGGTCCCTGACAGTGCCTGAGTTCACAATGTCATTTGGGGGCAAAAATGAGATCGGGTGCTTCAAGAAGTAAAAGGCAAGATATTTCTACTGCTAAGCTCCTGTGGGTTTTCTGTGTTAAGGGAGCAGATGTGAGAGCCAAAAAAGGCATATTCTACCATATTGTTGCACAAGTGGTAACAGCCATCTGGAAGACTTAAAGGATAGAGCAGGCAATAAGCTTCAGCTTGAAAGTCAGGCTGGTGTTATATAGTCACCCAAGGGTTTTCTTTTGAAAGGGGACCTGCAACAGAGATGGCCAAGTACTGAAGTAGCATCAAATGATTAAGAACCAAAATACCAATGGGGCACTGGGGAAGCAGATGCAAGATAAATAATGATAGGAAAGATAATGATAATAAAGGAACTTACATCTGTCATTCACAGGACAGGCACAACAATTTAAAAAGCAGCGAGTGTTTCCAAGACGGCCCAATTTGCAAGTGCCCAGGGCTTGAAAACATGAGCATTTCCTGCATGTGCCCTGGACGGTCTCTGAAAACAGAAACCAAGGGCCATGTGAATAAATCACAGGCATACACTAAGAATGAGGCGTTCAGGAGATTCGGGGAATAAGTTTGTAAATCCAATTGATAACAACTGGCTGCGAAGCACTGAACTCCCTCTTTCAAAAGCCTCAGATTAATTTAATGGGTAAAATTGTGATTGGGAGAAAAAAGTGGCTGGGGTCGTGCGTATTCTACCTGCTTTTCAGTTGTACGGCAAATATTTCAGTGGGCTTTTTGAAATTACATGAACCTTCCTGAGCTGATTTAACACATCTCCACTTGAAAGTCTGTCTAATAAAAAACCTAATCTATCAAGGGAAAGGTACCATGAAAGCTGCTATAAATCACAAGCAATGATAAAAGAAACCCATGGGCTGCTAGTTGCTCACCAGTAGTTTAATGTTTTTCAGCAGAGTATTTGGGCTCTCATTTGAGTCAGGACAACATCTCGGCTCTCACCTGTGCTTCATTTATCTGGGCTGTGGTTTCGGGCTAGAATTAAAAACATGTGAAAGAAGCAGCATAATACGCCAGCCTCTTTTCATCTCCTTCGTCTGGTCTTGCAGGAGCTCTTGCAAGATGATGGTGTGACTCTTCAGACTAGTCTGCCAACACACCTCTGCAATAACCTATAGGAATAATGCATGGGAATAAGCAGGTAACTTGCGTCTCTTAGCTCCTTCCAGGCCAGCCTGAGATGACTAGCAGGTGTATGCTGTTTAACACCGCTAACCTGTTTCGCTTGTGCCACCAAATGCCCATTATATGATGGCTAGAGTTGGTCACAATGCTGTTTGCACATTTTCAAATGAAGAAAAAACCTGGTTTCTTCTCTCTTCTTTTTTATGATGTTTCCAGTATATGAAAAGCAAGGTTCCTGCATTCTCTGTTTTTAACCCTTCCCTAAAAAAACCCTTCCCTCCCCTTTCTCTTGGGGAAAGAGAGCAGTGTAAACGCTGAGACGTCTAGACACAAAGAGCAGACCGCTCTAGAGAAATGGTTTGCTCAGGGGTTAATTGTGGCTTTACATAGTCTTTCACCTCAAGGTCATGGATGTACGTGGGACTGACTGAATCTTTTCCCCCTGGGTTAGTTCTTGGACTAAAAGCTTCGGGTATTTCACAGGTGAAAATATTTGACCTACTGAAGACCTGGGGAGTGTAAATGCCTGTGCATGTGCTTTGCTTGCGTATTGGGGTTTCTACCCCCAAAAGGACTGGAGCCCAGACCTCGGCAGGCCTGTGGCTGTGTGTTAGCTGCTGTTATTGTGTACCCCAATGCCTCCCTCCCCCCTTGTCTCGACTTGGACCTTGCGGTGGCAGGACACGGCTCCAGCACAAAGTTCTTATTGTGTTTCCACGTGAAAAGGAAATGAAACTCTGTCAGTGCAAGAGCATGATGCAAATGAGGAAAGACAAAAGGGATATATCCTCCACGCGAGGCTGGGGCGAGGATGCTATTCCATTAAGAACGTGTCACGAAACGGTGCCAAAATCATGTCAACGCCAGTCGGAAACCATCGTCCTGCTGTCACGGGAATGGTATGAAGCCCCTGCCGGATCCTCCGAAAGCGCTGCGATGACATTAGGTCAGTGGCCACACGCGCTTTGTAGTGTACCATGTAATTGGGGCTGGGAAATTACTTTTTAATGTCAGGCGGTGTGTGGAGGAATAGGCAGATTTCAGCAGCGAGGGGAGATGGTGTGGCAAAGGCTTGGAAACACTTCGCTGCCGGGGGGGGGGGATCCTTCACGAGAAGTGCACACAGGATAAGGGCCCCCTGCCAGGTGAGTGACCCCCTGGCAGGTGGAAGGACACCGGGATAAGGACCCCAGACAGGTGAAAAGCCCCCCTGAGAAGGGCACAGGATAAAGACCCCCTGAGGGGTAGGAAGACCCCTTGACAAGGGCACAGGGGATAAAGATCCCCCAACAGGTAAGAAGGGCACAGGGGATAAAGACCCACTGGCAGGTGAGAAGGGCATGTGGAAGAAGGCCCCCCCCGACAGATGAAAAGACATCTTGGCAGGGGCACAAGGCATAAAGACCCCCCAACAGGTGAAAAGCCCCCTGAAAAGGGCACAGGGGATAAAGACACCCTGGCAGGTGAGTGACCACCAGACAGGTGAGAAGCCCCCGGAAAAGGGCACAGGGGAGAAGGGCCCCCAACAGGTGAGTGACCCCCCGAGAAGGTCTTTATCCCCTGTGCCCCCCTGGCAGGGGAGAGGATCCCATGAGAAGGGCGCAGGTAAGATGACCCCCTACAGGTGCAAAGCCCCCCCCCCCGAGAAGGGCACAGGGGATAAAGACCCCCAACAGGTGAAAAGCCCCCCCCCTGAGAAGGGCACAGGTGAGTGACCCCTGACAGGTGAAAAGCCCCCTGAGGTGAGCGACTCCCAACAGGTGAAAAGCCCCCCCAGAAGGGCACAGGGGATAAAGACCCCCGACAGGTGAAAAGCCCCCCCTCAGGAAGAGCACAGGTAAGATGACCCCCCAACAGGTGAGAAGCCCCCGGAGAAGGGCACAGGTAAGACAACCCCCTAATAGGTAAGAAGCCCCCAAGAAGGTCACAGGGGGATAAAGCCCCCCGAGAAGGGCACAGGTAAGATGACCCCCCGACAGGTGAGAAGCCCCCCCTCCCGAGAAGGACACAGGTAAGA